AATGATGTTCGAGGGATGATTGCGGCTTCCCCGCTCTCTCCAGATGAGTATGCGATGAGAATCGCTACTCAGACGGAATCTGCTCTCATCTGTAAAGAGTACTCGTCCCCATTCATTGTCTCTCCAATTCCGGTGTTCCCGGCACCACAGAGAACGCCTTCTCCGATGGGCAGGCGTTAGAGGTACACACCGTACAGGGCGTCGTGCAAACACCCCACCACCGTGCAGTCTTCTGGCCACGGTAAAACGCGATATCGGTCGTCCAGTCGCCTGTGTCGTATGTCTAGCGATTTCTCTCGCTGTCTGCCGCCTGTTTCTTCTGGCCTGTAAGGCAATATACCGGTCATCTGCGGGTGTGGTTCCTCGTGGACGACCACTACTAAACCCCCCGGATAGCTGTTCCTGTAGTTTGAAATTGTCTCCAAAGTCGTGAAACGATGCTGTGAGCAATTCCGAACTCTGCAGCCACACTTGTCACACTGCGGCCTTCCTCCAACTTCCCAATGATTCGACCTCGGGTAAAAGCATCCAGATGTCGTCTAACAGATTGATTATTCGCCATTTCTCGCTGAGGCAGCAACTCGGTGTGATTTTAACTGCTATACGGCGTGCAATCTCTTTGCCAGAAATACTGATCTTACACCGACAACATGCTTTATACTACTCAGACACTCCCCCATTACGTCTAGCTTCATATCTGCGCGTGTGCTACCGTACACCACCTTATTTAATCTCCTGATTGGTCTTTCTGTCCGCTCTGCCTCTTCGTTCAGCTGATATGCTAATTTTTCGACTTCGTCCTTAATTTTTGCACACCAGTGTATAATAAAAAGACTAAAATTCAAAGGCTTAAAGCATTTCCTACGTATGTGGATATTTGTGATGAGAATCATCAACATATCCGGCTAACTAGGGGAATAGCGGTAGTTCGATTCCCGGCTAAGATTTAATTAATCCTTTTTGCTCCGGGAAATCAGCTGGATTTGGCTAGCTAAATCTCATATATTTTCATCAGATGGTCTTTAAAACTTTCAGGTGGCGAATGTAATGAAGAAAGACGTTCTTCCTGTACTTGCAGAGGGCCCACCAGCGACTGGGAGGTAAAGTCGTTGATCACTGGTAGTTTGGTCGAGCTTTCGAATTCTGGCGAACGGGCTAGCTGCATGGACGCTTTCCTGGTTTACCTAAAGCGTAATATGCAAATGGGCCAATTTCCCATAGAACGTCCACTACTAAGGCATCCCTTCTCATAAACAGAGAGCCCTCTAGTTCTCTGTCGTAATAGAACACACCAGATCAAACCAAAAGGGCAGAATACGGTTTGTTTCTTTAATGAAAAGGACTGTTGTGGCAATTTGTTGTAGTATTAAATTAGATAATCTCTTTGATTGTATTAATAACACAGGCTTTCGTGAGAGATTTTGGTTAATTTACTAAATATAAAACTTCCGGGTTTTCTTTTCAATCTAAAATATTTCGCAGTTCGTAAGGCATTTTGGTGCACATGGTAATATTTTAGTAATGATGTTTTGGCTTTCTACCTATTATACACGGAAAGGTTTACCAGGAAATTCTGGAATTCTTTCCTTTAATAAACTGTTCGGTAAAAACAGTCGTAGATTAATGCTAAATATTGGAACATAGCAAAAGAATATGTTGAAAAAAATTGCTTTTCTCTGTAAATTACTAAAATTATTAATCTGTTCATGTAAATGATTAAACTTTATTTCTGAATACAGTATAACTCCCTTACAACGAGCTCCGATTTAACGAGAACCCGAACGAGGAAAACGAAAATACTTAGTTGGTACAATGTTAAATCTATGGAAACAGAATTCTCTTTTAAAGAGCAAACCGCTTATATAGCGAGCAACAGTTTTTTGATTCACAAAATTTCTATTAACTTCCACCTCTGCAGCTCAGCTAATTCTTTCTTGGGAAATTTCGTGAACACTATGAAGTCAACTGAAAGTTAGCGATGAGCCATAAAGTCTACGAACATGTGTATGCATGTATGTATCTCGCTTAACTCAAAAACGAGTAGACTCAAAACGTTGAAATTTTGTATATAGGACTGCTAAAACATGTAGATGTGCACCTCCTATTTGGTTGCAATCGCCCGCAAACCAAAGGTATACATTAAATATATATATATAATTAAAAAGCTAGGTAGTATTTACTATATTTTATATATATAGTAAGTACTATATATTATATATATATATATAGTACTTACTACCTAATATATATATATATATATATATATATATATATATTCACTCTATTACTCGGCTCAGTGAGCTTAGTTTCTTTATTTTTATATGTTTGTAAATTGCGCATTTTTTACTTTCAAAATTATTGAATTATGTTGTTCTTATCTTCCGGTTAAGACTTTAGTTAAACTGCATGCAATAATTGTGGAATTATGAACAATTTAAAATTTGTTTAATTGCGGCTAGACCTAATTTTTATTTACTATAGTAGCCATATTTTTTTACATTTGAAACTTAACAGAATAGTGGATTTGTTGCCGATCTAGAGAAAGTAAGCTTCGCAACAAAGTAACGTCTTCTTTTATTATTGTAAATTAAATTATGCCTAATTCATTCTGGATTTATCATATAAGTTATTAGCTTTTTTTGCGTACAAACTGTAATTTTGATTGTAAAAAGCTGTCTTTTAATTGTTTTAACTGTACTTTGTGTTTTATATTTTTCTATATCTTCCAATTTTTAATGAAAATATTTTGAATTTTTTTTATTATTTTACCTTGCCGCGAAGTGAGAACTGAATTAATTAGTAGCGCATGCGCTTTAGGTAAGCGGCGCTGAATCGTCTGTGAAAAACTGTTTCTTTTTTATTCGTTTAATTTCTTTTAATCGTTTTAGATTTATTGTAGTATTTGAATAATACTTATGGTAATTCTTCAAATGATATAAATTTTGTGCACTCTGAGTTTTAAAATGAAGGAGATGTAACGCTGTTAAGGACACCTAGCGCCGAAGTGTCGCTGTGGTAAATAAATATAGTGAACTTTAAAAAGTGCATTTATTCTATTGTAGTTTATGCGCTATCGACGAAGAAGATTTAATTCAAAATTTGTTAACTGTTAATTTAATATGTGTAAATGAGATGCAGGAAAATTGCGTATATAAAATTGCGTATTAATATTCCGTTCATGGAAGGCACGTGGTGCACACATCAGATTTTTCATTTTGGGGAATGATCAGGATTGAAATTTCGCCAGTAAATTCTACGAATGTTATCCAGCCTATGTACCAAGGGACCATTAGATGTTTTAAATCAAACTTTCGTAAACATTTGATTTTGATGCTTCTCGACAGAAGAGAAAAAATATAAATAACCTCAAATGCTGATGTAAACGTACTCCACGCGATATGTTTTATGAACGATGTGCGAGAAAATGTTGCTTCAACATGCATTACCAATTGCTTCCACTAAACATTTCTCAAGAGGGGCAAATCACTGACGAGGAAAAAGACGTAGACGGTCTTGGAAAATTTGGAAATGAGTGGACAAGAATTTGAAAATTATGTATCTGTTGATGCCGATTTTAATACTTTCGAGATACCAACACCCGAGGATATTGCAGCCTAAATTCAAGCAGATGGAAAAGGTAATAAAAGGGACGATGATTACGACGAACGTGAAGAATTTCAAGCTGAACTGCTTCCAACATACTCAACGGCTTTTGAGTGCACAGAAAAACTTCAAATTTTATCCAAAACAAATGACGATGTTTTTCCGGCTATGAATATTTTCCGAAAAACAGTGACACAGGAAAGAGACAATAAAATACTAATTCAGAAGTCAAACAACAAAAATCAACGTGTGTTAGAAAAAAGGAAACACAGAAGTCTTTTGTTGCTCAACATTGTTGGTCGAAAATCACATTTTCAATTTTTCTGCTGCCAAAATTATTCAAAAAACCAACTTCCATTGGAGAAGTGGATTTTCTAGAGGCTTTTCACATTAAAAAAAAATCTTTCTGTTCTAGTTAACGATCCTAATTCCAATCCAAATTTGCCTTCGGCTTTTAGAGAAATTATGTTTTAGTTCTGGTTTCGCCAACAGATGGCGCCACTTGCTTATTCTTGTCCAGGCTTTCTTATCTTATCTAATCATTATTTCCTATCTTGTTCATTTGTGGTTTTGCAGCTGAGGATGGTGGTTCGGTAAAACCATCGAAACTAGTCCTGTGAAAATTTTGAAAATATAACGCTGATTTTTGTTGTTTGACTTCTGAATTAGTATTTGTTCGGCATGTTATTGTGTCTTAATTAGACAATAAAATAGTTCGAAACAAATTAACCAACTTCTTTTGCACTGTACAGAATTAAAAAATAAATAAAATATATATGACATAATAAGCATGTGTGAAATTTTATGATTTTTTCACGAACCGGTTTCTTACGAGCACTGGGTTATAACGTGCAAATATCGCGGGTCTTTCACATTCGTTATAACCGAGTTCTTCTGTATATCATTTAATTCCTTAATAATCATTGAGTCTTACCCATTACAACTGTACAGAGCAATTATGTAAGTAAAATAAATTTTCGCGCAAACATTTAAATCAGTATCAGGTAATTGAGCATATTATAAAAGCTAACCTATTATCTCAGTTGATATGGTTTTATTTAATGTCGTATTATAAGCATAACATCTTACAGTTTGATCTGAACGAGAACCAAATTAGGAAATATTCATTTCTTGTACCTGTTTATTTACTAAGAATTGTGTGAAATGAATGCTTAATTCATTATATGGATATAATCTATTAAGGATATAAAAAGTCATATAAAATTCAAGCATGTATTATGAAATAAATGAAAATAATTTGATACCATGCAAAACAATTGTAGCTAAAATGTGCTGCATGTTTTGAAATATGGTATTATATGATGCATATATAATAGTGTGGTCTGCGGTGATGATTAAACCAAATATTAATTCACATTTATGTGATTTCTGTGCAGATATATGTGGCCAGAATAAGTGTCTAGCAGGAGAATGTGAAATAACAGGTGATCATTATCGCTGTAGGTAAGATATTTTTTACGTATATTTTCTCTCGCTTTTTAATATCTAATTATGTATCTTAAAAAACAGACATAAAATCTCTAGTACGAAAATGGCAATAATGTATATACACAGAAAAAAAATATTCTTTTGTAAATGTCCTGTTTCATTTTGTTAATGCCTAATTTTTGGATTTATATTCCGTTAAAAATGGACATAAAGACTTTAATAAGGAAAATGACAGTGATGTAGACATGCAAACTAAAAATGCGCTTACGTAATTTTTAGCCAAAAAGGGATGTTTGTCCCGAATGGGATATAAATCTAGAAATAGCATTTTACTTGGAATCACTAAAAACGGCGTTATGAAGTTTCAGATTCTTGCTACCAAATATTATCGTCCTCTATTATATTAAAAAAAAACTTGTTCATGCCTTGATCATGGCTAAAGGCATGATCAAGGCATGATCATGACTATGGATCATGGCGTTATGCATGAGATTAGTTGTTGTTATTGTTACTAATCTTCATGTCTAGGAATATACTAGACGAGATCCACAAGTTGATTGACCTTCAGAAAATCGAAAACAAGCTTAGGAGACTTGTAAAGGTCCTCAAGAGGCAACTCCAGGCACTCAAGGATACGTGCCGGTGCATTTGGACATTTTGAACAAATTGGGTGCATCTTGAGACCTCTCTCAAAAGTAAGTCCTTTCAGGTGTCCGCTGAAGAATATTGTCTGGACAACAACATTTGGCAATCAATAGTAAGAGATCTTCCAGGGCAATCAGCTTGATACCAGGGATGATTAGGGGGAACGAGCCAAATTTGCCTGTCTGCATGTCTTCGAATGGAATACAGTTCAAGATATGTCAATGACCTGGTGGTTACCAGGTAATGGTTCTTCAGAGCCCTCCTTCGCCAGAATGTCTGCCATTTCATTTCCCCATATGTCAACATGGGAAGGAATCCACTGAAGGTGCATTTTTTCACAGAGTAACGAGACCTGCTTAAGCTTGCTAAGAATTGCAATTCCGGCCGTATCACCAACTCTTCGCCAGTTTGAAAGATGGCGCTACTATTGTCAGACAAAAACCATACTGCCTTAAGATCTGTAAAGGACGAAACAGCGTTTAGTCCCTCTTCGATGGCTATAAGCTCACTCTTAAAAACCGAACTGAAGTCAGAATTTCTTTTCTTTATTTTAACAATATTTCCATTTGTGAGTTTAATGACAACTCCACTACCGGAACGAGAGTCCTCGCTGTTACTCCTATCAGTATAAATAAGGGTAGCTTCAGCGGGAATTGCGTGTATAGTTTCTAAGGTAGATTGTCGTAAAGGGCCGGAGTATCATTTTTCTTGGAAACTTGAGACAAAAGTTCCGTATGAAACTCGACCCTAGGGAGTCCCTTAGACGGATCTAAACATTGTTTTAAGGAATGCTGCTCAACATTACGCTCAATTATACCAGCATACTCACTTTGACTACGTGGGCTATTTTTCATAAGTCTTTGGTTATTACTCATGTACTGCAAGAATTCTGAAGTCATTTTTTTTGGGGGGGAGCCATAACTGAAAGTTTATTATAACATTTTGCATGGCCAGCATTTTTTCTTAGGCTAAGGGGTTGAAGGTCTGTTTCATACAAAGCAATTTTATTCGGGCAACTGTTGCGTAAGCCAGTTATAATACGAGAAGCACTAAGTTGGACTCCTTCCAATATCTGGAGGTTGGTAGAAGAGGCACAACAGAAAACGGGGATGAGATTAGTGTATCTCGCAAGAAAATCATATTTCTTTGTAGCCATAAATCATAAAATATAGGTGATCCTCGCAAATTACTTAATAATATTGATATGCAGCATTTTATGCGGTATTTACAATGCTTCGCTAAATAATGTTATTCACCCAGTGGCTTGTAATTGCTTATTCAGCACTGGCCACTCCTAAAGCTGAAAGCAGAGGTCATTTTACTGTGGAGGTACCTAATAGGCAGTCTCCGTTGCCTCCTCTTGAAGGGATGAACAGTTGCAACCACGCCTTTTCCCGGATTCTATCCCGGACTCTTTGGTATCCCAATAGGCTATCTTAACAACTGCACCGTCTGGACTGCACTAAATAATGTTATGTGAAGATGAAAATAAGGAGTTGGTAAGAAATTAATTTTCATCTGCGTATAAAGAATATAAGCAATTTTCTTTGACTGAACGGTGCCTGTCGTGATACTACTCTAAGATAAGCTCATATAAGCATAATATTAATTTTCAGACATGGATTACAGACCCACAAAGGTTCCTAAAATCGAAAAAAAATCTGTGCTGTCCTCTGAAAAGCACCATGCAAAACTAAACTCCGAGGGTAAAAGCATCCGAAAATATTTACGAAGGTAAGAGGAAATAAACGTAATAAACAGTAAGGTAATTTACTGAATCTCCGGTGAAGATTCAACAAAATTCAAATTGATTTTCAGCTCCTTATAAAGAGGACAGAATTCCGAGAATATCCTGTATGCTAAATGGCAAACCGCACATTCAGTTGAACAATGTTAACGAATTTCGCTTATTGCGCATGCTCAGTGGTGTACCGTTGGCTTGAGAGAAAATACTGGCGACTAAGCGTAAGCAACTCTACACAAGCCTGTTCATGTAGGTCTTAACGACTGTTTACAATTGTAATAATACGAAATATTGTATGTGCTTATTGCATTTGCTTCTGTGCCATTTTACTTTGATTATTTTGGTCACAAACATTATATTTAATACCAGTCATAATAATTTCTCTGACTTTAATTCAGTAATTTAAACTAGATTTAATTTTTAATTTGTTAAAGTACATACGAATGGAACGTATGGTAAATACTCGATTGCTTTTGTTTCTCAGAAGTATATTCAATAAACATTTAGCTAATATATATTGGAATGTTTCCTTCTTTGTAAGTGTTTCCTTCTTTTTTTGGGCCCACCAGCGGCCGAGCGGTAAAGACGCTGAACACTGGTAGTTCGGTCTGAGGTTCGAATCCCGCGAACGGGCTAGCTGCATGGACGTTTTCGTGTTTTTCCCCATGTGTAACGTGTATACGAGCCAGTTTCCCTTAGAAAGTCCTCCACGAAAGGCATTCCTCCCTTTAGGCAGATAGCCCTCGTGTGCTTTGCCATAATTAAATACACCAACACCTTCTTTTTTTGTCTACTCCTTCTTAAACGAAAATTTGCGTAGTTTAACAATCGATATTTACACTCCAAGTAATGAAGCAATTTACAACCTAACAAGTTTTAAAACCTCGAACTGTGTACACCCAATAACACAATATCAACCATAACAATCGATATTTACACTCCAAGTAATGAAGCAATTTACAACCTAACAAGTTTTAAAATGTGTACACCCAAATAACACAATATCAACCATATACCATATTTATCGTCTTTTAAAATTGTGCCAAAGTAGTAATTGCGCCAAATTCTCTTCTGGGCATGCGCAGTAAGCGAAATTCGTTTAACATTCATCAACTCAATGTGCGTTTTGCCATTGCGCATCCTGTATCGACTTCAAAAAAATAAATAAATAAATAAAAGAGAATAAAGTTTCAAGAGATTTCGAAAAGTTTGCCAGCTTTATAATTATTGTCAAAGATCGCTTGATCACGAACAACACTATCTTCAGTTTTGTTAAAATAGTCCGTATACTAAAATTTCCAATAAGAGTGCAATTTAATTCCCTAATATATGATCAAATTATCGTACAATAAACGTGTAGAAAAAACTGCTTACAATTATTTATCATAGTTTATAAGATTATATGTTGTAGATTTGGCTAGGGAAAGACATTCGAATAGAGAAATAATCTTAAATTAACTCGGCAAAGAGACATAAATATGAATAAATGTTTCTGATGCATAAGTTGCTCAGATATGTTGTCTGAGCTCAGATCGAAGCCGTGCTTGTTTGGCTTTGCAAGTCTCCTTTTCGTTCGACACTAAAATGGTTCCTTGTTGAAAACACATGCTGCATTTATTTCTCTTTGTCTCGTTAAATGTTTCATAAGGTTATTCTACATTTCTTAGGTGCCAAGATGGTTATGCGGGAACATACTGTGAAGTTGAACTTGACATCTATCCTAGTAAGTTCTTTTAAATTAATTCTACCCCTCTTTCCTTTTAAAAAGTAACTTTATGTATTATTAATAATATAACTTTATTATTAACATAACATGTATTATTAATAAGATTAACTTTTTACAATGTTATATCTATAATCACAGATAGTGTATATTTTATAATTCTCCACTGAATACGAGAAATTAGTAGTGAAAGCTTTCGGCTAGCATACGAAAACTATTTCAGCAATTAAGTATAGTACTGAACACAGTAAATGTAGATCTCATTTTCGCAAGGCTTGCCAAAAGCTATGCATCCTTTTCGTTTAATCAGCTTGCTTAGATTCATCGCTTTGTACATCAGGCAATGGGCCCACCAATGGCCGAGCGGTAAAGTCGCTGAAGACTGGTAGTTCGGTCTGTAGTTGAAATCCTGCGATCCCCATGTGTAACATGCATATGAGCCAGTTTCCCTTAGAAAGTCCTCCATGAAGGCATTTCTCCCCTTAGGTAGATAGCCCCGCAGGATTTGCAGTAATCACATAAACCATACTAAAGCAAACCACACGAAAGAAATTTATAATTTTATAATGGGTTTGAAGCTGACAGATGGACGTTAGAACGCACTGAACGAGATTACCATAAAAATTACGTTTTACCGTACTCAGTCTGAACCCACGGCCGGAGACATTTTTCGAAGTATGCAGGGAATGTTGGCGCTCCGAAATCAACACAAATAACTGCGCACTGACTGGTTTCAAAAGGGTTTTATTTTTTTATGTCCAGCTGTCCGTATCTTAATCATAAGCCATCATCGTAATCACTTAGCATGCTGTCTCAGCAGAGCTCCATGGCTAAAGAATGGAACAAAAATTATTCAAGGAATAATCGTCCTCCTGTCTCACCAATAATAACCATCCTTGGAAAGTCTGAACGTGACGTAACCTTCGGATGAATTCACTTTATCTTACCTTATATATCTGGCTTTAGGCAGCATTTAGTGGCAACTGCTACTTTAATTGCCGAACATTAAAATTGCCCATAGGGCTTGGATGACACAATTACGTGGAGATAACCTCCCCGCCTAAAAAGGCAAAACCGTAAATCAAGTGCATAAGCACATACGTTGGAAAACTTTTTAAAAGCATCTGATCGTAGAAATTACATCACTGGCCGCCGTTCGATCTGTGAAGATCCTTCGTAGAGTGAAAGGAGATGATTCGTCGGAGCCAGTCACGTGGGTGGTCACCCACCCAAGTACTGACCCCGAGCGTAATGGCAGACCGCACATTGAGTTGAACAATGTTAAGCAAATTTCGCTTAGTGCGCATGCTTGATGGTGTACCTTTGGCGCGGGGAGAAATACTGGCGACTAAGCAACCCTACGCTAGCTTATTCGTGATCACCATGGCTGTCGAGTGTGTTCGAGTGATGTTTACAATTGTAATGTTGTGGAACTTTGCTTATTAGTTATTTTAACGTCCATACCGATTGCACTTGCTTATTTTTCTAATATATATTTCATTGTAATTTGTCAATAACAGTGCATTTAATATTTGTTAACATATGTTCGTAATAATTCGTTATTTAAATGTAATTTGTTTACATGTTATAATTCAGTAATTGTAAACTGGAGTATTTCGCTTAGTTTGTTAGCGTATATTGGCGCTTTTATTTTATCATTTCAAAGAATTTAATAACTAGCATTAAGGAATTGTAAAACTTCTTCAGTGTTATTTGCAAGCACTTGTTATATCCCTCAGTGTTTCTTTATGTATGTACGAATGGAACGTAAGGTAAATCCTGAATTGTTTTTATTGCTTAAAAGTATAATGAATAAATTTTCAACTAATATATCCTAAATTTCAGTCTTTTTCTGAACGAAAATTTGTACAGTTCCAAAGGAATGTGCAGAATTTCATAGGTATTATATTTTACATTTTGAATGCAAACACTGCTTCACATTACTTCGCAATAATTTCAGCTTTCTAGTTGTTTGAGCAGTACAGCAAAAAATAGTAATTAATTTACATTTACATTATACTCTACGAAGATTTAAACGCCAGATATGTTTACAATCAGATGGCGGTACATCTACCATATACCGTATTTATCTTCTTTTCAAATCGCGCCAACATAGTAATTACGCCAAATTGTTTTCTGGGCATGCGCAGTATGCGACATTCGTTTAACACTGTTCAACTCAATGTGCGGTCTGCCATTACGCACCCCGAGAGGAACCGCTTGAAAACGAGGAATTCTGAAAGTCTGGTAAAGGGATCTCTTCACTGTTCGTAAAGCTTGTTCTTCCGTTTCTGTGAATTTCATCAGAGATAGAGCGAATTCACCTGCCATTTTGTAGCATCCTATAGTCCGTCAACACGGAGTCATTGTTAGAGATTCTGTTAACCCTAATAGTCCCTAATCTCTAATACGCATTTATGGGTGCAATAACAGCACGCTAATCTGTTGGTCAATTACTACCACTCGTAGCGGTACAGGGTGCTGGGACACAGCTTTTTTTGACAGGCTTGTATCTGACAACGTACAGTTTAGTTCAGCGTAAGTGCATTTCAAGGTGGGCAAATGATTATGGGGTCCAGCCAATCTCCCAATGTTTTGCTAATCAAAAATCTGGGAAGCAAATTAGTATAGGCACCTGAATGTCCTCCCAGTGCCACAAAATGAAACAAACCTGGGAATAATACTACATAGTTGATAATACCTCACAGCATTGTTCGTACACTCAATGGATCCATGTCAAATTGGGCTCTGTAACGTATCTCTCAAAACGGAGACTTCACTTTTTACTGAACACCCGATATTTTAGATCACTGCAGCTGAATAATACCCCATAGCATTGTTCGTACATTCAATGGATCGATGTCGCGTTGGGCTCTGTAATGTATCTCTCAAAATGGAGACTTCACTTTTTACTGAACACTTAATATTTTAGATCACTGCAGCTGAATAATACCCCATAGCATTGTTCGTACATTCAATGGATCGATGTCGCGTTGGGCTCTGTAATGTATCTCTCAAAACGGAGACTTCACTTTTTACTGAACACCCGATATTTTAGATCACTGCAGCTGAATAATACCCCATAGCATTGTTCGTACATTCAATGGATCGATGTCGCGTTGGGCTCTGTAATGTATCTCTCAAAACGGAGACTTCACTTTTTACTGAAACACCCGATATTTTAGATCACTGCAGCTGAATAATACCCCATAGCATTTGTTCGTACATTCAATGGATCGATGTCGCGTTGGGCTCTGTAATGTATCTCTCAAAACGGAGACTTCACTTTTTACTGAACACCCGATATTTTAGATCACTGCAGTTGAATAATACCCATAGCATTGTTCGTACATTCAATGGATCGATGTCGCGTTGGGCTCTGTAATGTATCTCTCAAACGGAGACTTACTTTTTACTGAACACCGATATTTTAGATCACTGCAGCTGAATAATACCCCATAGTTCGTACATTCAATGGATCGATGTCGCGTTGGGCTCTGTAATGTATCTCTCAAAACGGAGACTTCACTTTTTACTGAACACCCGATATTTTAGATCACTGCAGCTGAATAATACCCCATAGCATTGTTCGTACATTCAATGGATCGATGTCGCGTTGGGCTCTGTAATGTATCTCTCAAAACGGAGACTTCACTTTTTACTGAACACCCGATATTTTAGATCACTGCAGTTGAATAATACCCCATAGCATTGTTCGTACATTCAATGGATCGATGTCGCGTTGGGCTCTGTAATGTATCTCTCAAAACGGAGACTTCACTTTTTACTGAACACCCGATATTTTAGATCACTGCAGCTGAATAATACCCCATAGTTCGTACATTCAATGGATCGATGTCGCGTTGGGCTCTGTAATGTAGCTCTCAAAATGGAGATTCCACTTTTTACTGATCACCCTGTATTTTAGATCACTGCAGCTTTGCCAGCATGTGAAGTAAACAAGTTTGAATACCTATGTATGCGGTTTGTCCTGTTAATATTCTGTCATGATGTGGTATTTCTCTGTCAGGTAGTACATAGGGCTCCTTCCTCCAAGAAAAAAAATTTTTTTCAATTGCAGATTGTGAACAATTACAAATGTAACTCAGTCCATTAATCTATACAAGGCCGGATGTGGTGGTCTCTTTATTACAGAGGCACCTAATAGGTGGGCCACCATCGCCTTTCCTACGAAGGGACGGACAGTTACAACCATGCCATCTCCGAGATTTGAACCCAGACACTTCGGCATCGCAGTTAGCTTCCCTTGACCACTATACCGACTGGGCGGCTCCTCCAAGAAAATTTAACAAACGAAAGTTATTTATATGAAATTTTTAAAAACATTTAAAGAATGCATTTTTTAAGCTCTCAAAATGGAGATTTAATTCATTTTTACTCTTCTCGTTTCAGAAAAGAAATCTTTGGTAGCTGCTTTCTCAATTCTTGCTACAATCATCATTGTGTTGCTGATTACAACGGTTTTCTTTGCTCGGAAAATTCGGGTTCCATAAGCCGACAATTTAAACTTGTCATGTCAAAATTCAGACAGAAATGCGAATTATCTTTGAGTCATGTTTCCCTGACTACTTGAATCCTTTTAAATCAGAACTGAACCTGTATAATATGGATCTCAACTGGAAAATAAACAAGGTTATCAGAAGACATGAAAGCAAATTTTTATGACTTAAAATCTCCAAGCATTCAACACTAACCATGAGCATTAATATAGCAGCCAATTTGATGTACATTTTAATTTTTAGATTCTTGAATTAATTAAGATATGTATAATATTAACTTCAACAGAAATCTTTTGGCAAACCTTTGTAAGATGGGTTGCTGTATGCTAATATCCTTGAAAAAGGAGAAACATTTTATACGAGTAGCACTTTCAGGAAAACACAGCAGGTTGCTTTATTCAAAGAAATAATGACCAGGAAAATATATATAAAGAAACAATAAAATATTAGAAAATAATAGTGATAATTTTTAAAAATAATTTCTTTATTCCAGTATAGATACTTAAGTTAGATTCATTCAAAATGTATGGAATTTTTCGCTGTTTTTCTCTAAATTCGTGGAATTTAAAACTAATAACATTCTCTGGATTCCGAAAATTCGTGGGAAGCCATTTTAAACATTCTCAACTTGGTAGGACTTTAATTAGAAGAGATATTAATTCAAAACTCTTAAAACGCTAATTTCGCTCTTATTTTTCGGGATGGCAACTGTCTCGCACGCTGGAGATAAAATTCTGTGTTATTTCGAGAAGCGTTGCCACTGCTCGCTTTCAAATCGTAAAGGTTGTTAATAAAGAATTTCTAAGTTTTACAAAATATGAAATAAAAATAATATCGCCAAGCGTTAAACATATTATTATTATATGTCATATTCTGACGAAGAAAGAAGAAAGGAAGTGGTAGAAAATTGTTCATTAATGTCAGCATTTTAAATAAACAGCTGCTGGTGGCAACATTTTTTGTTTCGGGTTAGAGTTTTTGACACGATATATTACTGTCACGTAAGTTCTTTTATTAATATTGAGAAAATGTTGTAATATTACATTAAATTTAAATCATGACGTCATAGGTACACGTAATTAACCCGATGTGTAAAATGTTTTTGTTTCCTGGTTTGGCAATAAAAAAATTATTTACTAATTGGTTGTTACATAGAAAGAATAAACTTATTTCATTCATATTAAAATGTTTTTATACATTTTCATTTCAGGTGTATATAAAACTTATACATTTTGCATTGGCCACTTCCCGCTCATCTGGCAAACTTGCCCGCTAGGCAAAGTTTAGAAATTGCTTATTTGATGTTTCTCTTATATATGTTATTGGTAACTCACTATATTAAACTTTCAAATCTGTAGTCTTTTTCATAAGATATTTTTCAAAACTCGGCATTTCTTTTTCCGTTTATAATTTTTTCCTTTTCTTTTCCGTTTACGTAAATACAATACTTGAAGACAAAATACACTATTAGATGAACTATTATTATATTATCTATATATCTGCACCGACACTATAGGTACGCTATTAGATCCTTTTTTATCAGATAGACGTACAACACTCGTTTCATCGGTTTCTCCGAAAATTTTGAAGACAAAGGAATGATGACGTACATGTGTATTATAATCATAATGGATGTGTATTTTTAGTATTAAAATTGGTTATATACTAATTTAGAAAATTTCTCATTTTTATAAACAATATGTTCCAAATCAAAATTTATTACTTTTTATAATAGTGAGGTTATTAAGAGAGTAAAACGCGACACCGTTGACGTGGTGGTAAATTATTATAAAATTTTAAAGTGGTAGAATTGAGCGGTTAATATTATGACTGTAAAAACCTCAAGAAACTCGAGTATAAGACACAAAGTGTGACCTAATGAAAGAAGAAAACTCATATTACTTAAACAGAGCGTGTAAAGTGAGTCGTAAAAAGAACAAACGTTCACATGTGAAGCTATTTTATTGTTTTTAGCGTAAACTACGTTAGCCCAGAAGGGCTATTAATTTCGCTTTGGCATTTTGAGTTGAAAACTTTAAACGTCGGTTCACTTTTCAAATGGTTGCCACCAAATATTAACGCCCTGTGTTATATTTAAAGAAATTAAATAATGAAGAATCGGCATAAACGTATGTATGTTTCTCACATTGTGATAAAACAACGGTACCTAGAGCCATCCAATTTTGAATAACGTAATCTTTCATCTAATATGGGCATCTGGAAGCCCTCATATGGAATTAGAAATTAATTTTATTACCGATTTCATATTTTGTAACATTTCAACAAATTTTTGATTAACAAACTCAACGATTTCAAAGCCAGTAAAGGCAAAACTGTACCCCCCCCAAAAAAAAAACTACAGCATGCGATCGGAAATTCTAAGGTATGCTCATTTTAAAATTATTTTGCGATATTGCTGGCGAATAGAATTTTGTGCTTTAAATGCAAAGAACATGATATTTAATAAATAAAGGTAACCAATAAAAGTTTAAAAGAAGCTCCTTTGGGCGTATTGTAAAATCTGAAACAGTTCAGATTTCTTTTTTACTATTATGATTATTCTTGGGTAATATTTAAAGTAAAAGTACACATCAACATTGGCAGGAGCTACAAAGCCTTGACAATGTTGTTGTTGGTTATGTTCATTTGTCTGACGAAGTCAGCCCAAGCCCATGAAACTCCTCATGGCAACCAGTCATAGACGGCCCACCAGCCGCTGAACACTGGTAGTTCGTTCGGGGTTCGAGTCCCGACGAACGTGCTGGTTGCATGGGCGTTTTAGTGGTTTTCAACATGTGTAACGTGGATACGAGCCAGTTTCCCTTAAAAAGACCTCCACGGGTACACCCCTCCCTTCCCGCATAGTGCCGCACGTAATAAGTTAAAAAAAAACCAGTGATAGACTACACCTGCCGTTGGCAACAAGCCTTGAGAACCAACCCATTCAGGTGACAGTGCGATTTAGCACAGCTCCGCCCCCAATTTTGATGGAGAAGGCGGGTCATCGAAGAGGCGGGTCCGAGTGTCTCCCACCCCTCTTTCCTTCCACCAAACCACAGGAGAGGATTTTCGGCTTGCCGCATAATTAGAGTCCCGCCATGCCGCACCGGCACTGTACATTTACAAACAACCACGCCTTCTCCGGGATTCGAACCTGGGGCCTTCGGCACGGCAATCAGCGACGCTAGGCAATATACTGGCTGGGCGGTGTCTTGACTCTACACCATATGAACGAAATACACACATATGAATAATACTCCAACATGCACGCACATCAAGTACTCCGAAATGCACATTCTTCACTAATCCGCTCCAAAAAAGATAAGGAGAAAGGAAGAACTGAGGATATTTACTGAAGAAAACCAGTCAGGTTCATTTTTTTAGATGACAGATGAAGCTCGATGTTGTAAGTACTAAACACATGACTGGTTTCTGCGCGTGCTTCGAAGAGGTGAAGGTGAATTCAAACAATTGTGAAGCCGCACGGCATCTTCCTTTTTCTAACTCGTATACGTAACTTAACCACAAACAGCTTGAAGAGGTAAAAACTTCTCTAAGATGACGCACTTTTGTTCATCTTCCCTATATATTCGTTAAAGTATGCAAGTCGAGTTCTTGCTCACGATAAATTCAGCAACGGCAAAGAAAAAAAAAAAAAAGAAAAAAAAAATCTGAAATGTTTCAGATTTTAAATTACGTCCAAAGGGGCGTTTTTTAACATTTTGTGTGTTACCTTTCTTTATTAAATATCATGTTCCTCGCACTTAAACCATAAGATCCAGTGCAACAGCAATATCGCAAAATAGTTTTAAAACGAGCATATCTTTAGAATTTCCGATACAGAGACTCACGCGCTGGAGATAAAAATGTTTTTTCTGCACAACGTTGCCATTGCTCGCTTTGAAATCCTTGAGTTTGTTAATCAAAAATTCGTCAAAGTTTTAAAAAATAGGAAATCGATCATAAAACAAATTTCAAATTTCAAATTTGGTCTTCCACATGCTCATATTCGTTGGAGGATTACGTTATTCAAAATTCGATGACTCTATGTACCGTTGTTTTATCACAATACGAGAAATATACATACATTTATGCAGATTTTTCATTATTTAATTTCTTCAAATATAATGCAGGACTCTTAACATTTTGTGGCAACAGTTTGAAAAGTGAACCGACATTTATGAGTCCGACGCAAAATCCCAAAACGAAACTAATAGTCCTTCGGGATTCAAATACATTTGGACTAAAAAAAAAAAAAAGAACTCGCAAAAAAAATAAAGTAGATCACTTCAACCAGCAGAAAGAAGAAAAATCTATCGGGGAATTTCATCCGCGTGTCTGCCAGTTCGATGACAATACACAAAACGATACAAGTTCCAAAGTAAAAACGTGCTAGCACACCTTTGTCTGATTCAAAACTAGTATTTTTATATACAAAACTGGCGCGTGGGATATATATTTGCGTACAAAATAACATAAAAAAAATCTAAAACACAATTTTCTCTTTTCTTAGTATAATGTTTACTTCCCTAGAATGTTATTAAAACCGAAAGGTTACATGCATTACACTTTCTAAAAACTGCAGTGAACGCTCGCTAATTCGAACTGAAAGGTTTCCAGAAGAGAGTCCGAATTATCCAATGTTAAGAGAAATATAACTTTCAAAGTGTATTACTGAAGAAGAAAAGTCTGTTAACCAGCTAACTATATTTTAACGAAATATTTTCTTGCCTAAGTTCAATACTTCTACACACTTTTCATTTTACGATATCTTTCAGGTGCCCTTTAAATAAACCTGTATACAAGATATCATTTCACTGTTGTTTTTCCCTCATCTCAATGGCAGTTAGATAAAAATTCAGAAACTCTTTCGAGCCAATTTTAATGTCACTTTTCGTGAACGTTATATATGTGAAATGCGTATGCAGACGGCTCGATTATTCGGTTATTATGTATACATTTGATCCCATTAACATATTGTTGCAAATTTTGTGTACAATCAAATAATTCTAGTTACTATTGTTATTCTAGTTACTAAATGTGAAAGTATAGCATTTGTATAATACAACATGAAATACTTTGAAAATTGCAGCTGTGCCGAAAAAAAAAGGTTACAGGTGCAAGTCTATTTACCGTTGAGTAAAATATCTGT